ATCAATGAATACAATAACACTTCAGACTTCTTAGCCATCTAGCCCAGAGTGTGTTAACCACTAAAGTATAATGAACAGAGTATCAGAATAGGACTCAAGAGACCTGGCTTCAAATCTTCATCACTCAGGGATAACAACAATAAACCATTCACAGAACATGGCATATTCCTTAAGAATTCTCTTAGGGACGTCGTAAGTCAGAAGCTATCTGATGGCATATAACCAGCCTATGGGGCACCAAAGCCACACCCTGCACCCAGCATCACCAAAATATTTTATACTTAAAGAGACCCCTCCACACACACACACGCACACACAGATGCACAGCATAGGGAAATGTAATTTCACCTCGTATTTGTTCCCTGACCCATGTTAGACCTAGGAAGATTTTTTTTTCCTAAACCAGAAAAAAAAGTTGTCAGGTCTAAGACAGGAAAACATGGTAGGTTCCCTCTGTACGCTTAGAAGGCATGATAATTCTTTTAAAGGAATCGAGGTTTACATATTTTTAAATTATTTGCCTGCTTCTTGGAAATCAGCCACTGGCCAGTGCAGATGGACTTTGCCAGAATATGTATTTTATAACACTGGAAAGAAAGATGCCAAGCCCCCTGCAACATTGTCAACACATAAACACATGGCATGTAGGGAACACTTACACACGGATATATTTTTAGCTACTGGGAAGCTTTTTTGAAGCCTGAACATAGATACTTCCCTTTTTCTTTTTCCCTTCTTTCCTTTGCTTCCTCCTTCTTCCCCTTCTCCTTTCGGAAAACTTTGTTATTATGTTTTTAGTCCTGCAATATTACCTTCTCAGCACTTTCAAAAACACTGTATAAATATCACATTAAAACAATTAAACGTACATCAAGATTAAAAACAAGGGAAAAACAATTAAAAATAATTAAAATATGTAAATTAATGAACAACACATTCCTGAGACACTTACTGCTTAACTGCCTGCCTGAGGACTAAGGTCTGTGCTTTGATTTAGGTGCCAAAACTATTTGGTCATTAGCCATTTGTGGCAAGTATGAATGCCCCCCCCAGACGATCAAGCTAGAATATTTTGCAGATTGGATAAAGTATTTCTTCACTCTGGTCTCTTTTTCAACGGGTTTGAATTGTGTGCAACAGCCTGTGGGGTACGGATGTGTATAGTAAATACAGTAGGCTGCTCAAAACGTTTGTAACTCCAGTAGATTTATTTTCCCGTATATTTGTTCTAAATATATCCCACTGCCAAAATGGGTGGAAAGGTGCTGGGCTGCTCCTTGCACCCTTAGAAGAACAGGAGCGGCGTTTATTTTTTTCCTGTGATCCTCGGTGAAAGCCCTAGAGTCAAATGCTATCTTGGACTCAAAGATGCCTGAGTTAAGAGGGCGCTGGATTGTGACACTGTGTGGTCCAATTTCTGGAACACGCAGGGAGATGAATCGGAAACACAGCTCCCCGTGCCAAGCGTTACGTGCCTTGGCCTGATGCAGGAAAAAGAACTCACATGTGCCTGTGTTTGGTGTTTTCACAAATAAAAGGATTAATAGGAAAAACGTCTGTTAGTGACCCAGGAGAGAGGCTACAGATTAAAGCAGAAGAGATCAGGTGATCTCCGGGAGATTTGGGAGCGCCTGTGTCTCGTGTCACACACTTCCAAATAGCCAAAGGGGGGGGGGAGCTTTTTAGAAATTGTACTAATTAAGATTTACTGCCTGAAATCCAGTTGTAAATTGCAATTAGAGCAGGTCCGCTGGACAGGTGGGAATCTGGTGAGTCAACACCTTTGTAAGCTCCCTTGATTCAATGGACCTGCTCTGGTTGAGACTTACTCCTGGCCAATAATTAGAAAAAACAACAGCCAACACTTTGAAAAAACACAATAAATGGTGTTTAGTTGTTGTTGGGTCCTTTGTGGAAAGAACAGGAGTATTTAAATTAAACCAACAGAATCAATCCAGATGTCGGTTTGCATGGGCAATAATTATCAGTTCACAGTGTATGATTTCCCAGATGTTCCTGGGTGCAGTGAAAGTTGCTCTACAACTCTCTCTCTGTGTATGTGTGGGGGGAGGGAAGAGAGAGAGATGGAGAAAGGGAAAGAGAGGAGGGAGGAAGAGCCTCTGTGTTTATGCATGCACGTGTGTTTTCTGTCTCACCTGCTACCCTGGGTACCAGCAATGAAGGGATTCCAACTCCCATCATCCCCAGAGTCAGCCCAGTCCAGCTAGCCTATGAAGAAGCAACTCAATAACATGGGGAGGGCTTTATGTTGCCTTCCCTGGGTGTAAATTCAGGCAGTTGCCTTATGCCCTAAATTGATCAACAGATGATGGCTATCAAGTTCTTCCTTCCCTAAGGACGTAAAGCATACCATTGTCCAAGCAGCCTCTGTTGTTGGTCCTATTTAGGTGGATGTACAGCATGGGGGGGAGTGGAGTGATGACAAGCACTGCACCTAGACAATGTTAGCCTGATGCTAATGCAATCTTTGATCCACATGCGCGCGCGCACGCGCACGCGCACGCGCACGCGCACGCACGCACGCACGCACGCACGCACACACACACACACACATGCAAGAAAAGGCACCCGATCTCAAATGCAGGGGCTGGCCAGCAACTCCTTTCATGAGAAGCTTGACTCAGCCAGCAGTTGAGACTTTCCCAATACCTCTTACTAGAGGCCCTTTCTACACTAGAGACAATCTTCTCCATCCAACGTACTGAGCTGCTATTCTGATCCACTGAGAAATATCTTGGAATATGAGGAAGTGGTGCTGGAGAGGGGAGAGGAGGGAGACTGGAGTGGTCTCCTGTACTAACAAGGACTGTCAGCGGGTATCACGGCTTGCATACATCCATTAGTACTTCCACATGGTGCTTAGAGCTTAGAAAAGTCCCCTTGGGTTACTGTACCCCAAACAGCAAAGCAAAGCAAAATATGCTGTTTATAGACCATCCCGTAGCACACAAAGCCCTCTCTGAAAGGTTTACAATTTAATTATGCAGGGTACATGCTGTCCCCTCAGAAAGCTGAGTATTCAGTTTACCAACCCTGGAAGGATGGAAGTCTGAGTTAACTTCAAGGCAGCTCTCTGAGCTTGTTGGAATCGAACTCAGGTTGCGAGGAGAGTCTTAACTGAAGTACTGCAGCTTAACCACTGCATCACAAAGCTCAAAGTTATTACAAGTAACCTTTGTCTTTCTTCCTTAATAGATATACAGTACATAGGCTTTCCTGGAATCTCACTTATGGGGATGGTTCAGTCCTCAGCGGCCTTTTCTAATCCGTGAAAGACGGCAGCATGGTTCTGTGGCCAAACACCTGCTCTGCATGCAGAGAAATCCAGATTCACTCCTGGAAGTCTCCGGGTATGGTAAAAGGATCAGGAGGCAGGGGTGGAGTTCCTGCGGAATTACTGCCAGCCCAAGATATAGGTTGATAAAAATTCCCAGTTCTGAGCCTGGCTTCACTTTTCATAGAGCAGTTTCCCCTAAGCTAGCGCCTGCTTTGGACAGGTTGATCTATGACCCCCATCCTCCCCTTGCCAGGAGGCTAGCTGGGGACAATGGGTGTTGTCGTCTAAACCCACTAGATTCCAGGAAGCTGCTGAGGGAACTGGTTTATGGGCTGGCTAATCAACACAAGTTTCTGTCTGCCTGTCTTATTTTTTTTTTAATCCAAACAAGAGCCAACCAAATCATCTGAGAAGAAGGTGGTGAACGATTCCCCAGTTTCTGAGAACTCATATTATTCTTACCAGTCTCAAAAATATCCCATAGTGCTGAGATAATGGTTACTTGTAAAACTGCAGGTGCTCGGTTTTACTTTGATGTTTAGGAAATAAACGCACAGAAATTGACCGGATCAGGCCTGGACCTCTCATTCCAACAAAGTTCTCGGTAACCTTTTAACAACTCTTAGGTACCTGAGCTCCTTTGCATGCTGTACTGATCTACTGCCCTGGCACTAATTAAACACGTTTCCTCGGCAATCTCAAATCAATAGGCTTTATTCTCCACTTCGCTTTGTTTAGGCTTGCAGTGTAAAAATTGCAATCTTTACGCCGGTTTGAGACAGCATTCTATGAATGGTTCCTTTTGGAAAGAAAAGGCAGGTGGGGATCTCTTTACTGGACCACAAAAAAAAGGCAACAACCCACAAATGTGAGCTAGCTTTCGATCCTGTACAGGTCTTCATCAGGCTGGACACCTCAGACTTGTAGAATAGTATGGGGAAGTTATCCAGCCCTCTCAGTCGCTAGTCCTCTAATAATAATCATCATGTGCGGTTAAGTCAATTCTGACTTATGGTGACTCTTTTCAGGGTGGAGAATGCTCAGAGCTGGCTTCCCATTCTTCTGGGGAAGACCTAGGAGTCTACTGAGCTTGCCCAGAGCTACCCAGTCTGGCTCTACTCGCAGGAAGCACAGTGGGGAATCGAACCCCCCCCCCCAACATTTGGCTTTGTAATTAACCCACCAAGCTAGCCAGCCAGCCAGCCACTAACATGCATCCCACTATTCCTCCTTCGCATCCCACCCTATTACCCTTCCCAGTTAGAAGACACCAGCAAGTGCTCCTGGCTAAAGGCACTTAGTTCTCCTCGCGTGTCATGCACACACGAACGAGTCCCATCCAGACCTGGCGGGCACGAAACGCTCTGCCAAAACCGCTCTGCAACCCCCCCCCCCAGCATGGCAACTTCTCCAAGACTGGGGATCCCCGGTGCCAAATCTGGACGCGCACCTAGGGGCATCTTCTCTTTGCACACTTACGTCTGCATCCCCAGCCTCTACCCCCCCCCCCCCCGCGGCACTTCTTTCCCTGCATCCTAAACTCGATGCGCTGAACAAATGCAACTTGAAGCTGAGCCGATCGAGGGGACCCCCCCACGACCCCACGACGCGCGCACCCTCGGAGAAGGGATCCCTTCCTCTTCCCGCTCCGCCGGTGCCAAGGGCTGGCTGGGATCCGGATCGGGATCCGGAGGCGTCTTACCTGCTGTCCTCGATGAGGAAGCCCTCCTTAACCCGGGGCAAAGCGGAGCAGCTCAAGAACAAGGCAGGAGAAGAGGAGAGAGAAGATCAGAGAGGGCTTCCCTCCTTCCCAAATGCAGCCTCTCTCTCTCTCTGCGCGATGCGCGGAAGGGAGCAAGGATTTCCCCCCACCGGCGTCCCACCCTAGATTTTGGATAAACTTTTTTTTTAAAAAAATCACTCCAGTCCAAGGCGGCTACTGTTGCATCCGTTGACCGCCCCCTACCGATCTTCCGACTCCTTAACCTTTTCTCCGAGGAATCCGGAGTCACAACGGATAGGGGCGGCGAGGTGCCCACCAGGCGTAAATCCCTCGCCTTGGAATCGTTCCTCCAGAAGCCTGCTTTCTCCCTAGAAGCTCAGACGACGATCCTGAGTGGGGTCGTGCTTTAGCAGTATTGTGAGAAGCCTTAGATAGGAACGTGGAAGGCAGGAGGAGAAGAGGAATATTTTCCCCCCTGCGATGGATTCATTCGATGACGGACCCACGGTCTTGAGTCTGCGAGACCCCAGCAAGTTAAGGAGGGGATCTTTGCGAGGTCATTAATTCGTATGATGGCCATCACCCAGAAACTGAGTGCTCACAAAGAATAATAAATATTTATTTATATTTTATTTATTTATTGCATTTATACCCCGCCCATCTAGTCAACTGACTACTCTGGGTGGCTATAAATTGATAAAGGAGAGCTTGTTTGGTAAAACAACAGTGGGCAACTTGTAGAGGTTTGAGGGCTGGACATCTCTAGGGCAGGATATTGGAGGGTTACGTCTTATTGCATTTATACCCCGCCCATGCCTCGCTTAACGAGCACCCCGTTTAACGCTGAATCCGCGTAGCGATGAGGTTTTTGCGATCGCAAAAGCGATCGCATTGCGATGTTTTAGATGGCCAAAAATCGCTTTGCGATGATCGGTAAGCGAAACGCATAGCGATGTTTTAAAAACAGCTGATTGGCGGTTCCAAAATGGCCACCGGAAAATAATGGCCACCTGCAGTGTTTTCGCGCCCTTTCCTCGCTTACTGGGCAGCGAAAATGGTGGCCAGATGGAGGATTTCCGCATAGCGGTGAGTTTTCCCCCCCATAGGAACACATTAAACATGTTTTAATGCGTTCCTATGGGTTTTTTCCCCCACATAGTGACGACTCTGGATAGCAACGATTTTTTCAGCATGGATTATCATCGCTATGCGGGGCACCACTGTATATTCTTCCATAAAGTTTTAGTTTTATCTAAAACTGAACTAGCTACCGGGCGCCTCTGGGGCCAATTTAAAAATGGAGTTTGGTGGACTCTGGTTGCATCCAGGAGATCTGCTGTGCTCCCGGGATTATGTTGCGATTTTTGCAACCTGGCATGTTGCTTTTAGTAGGTTTGGCGGGGAAGGACCTCTCTGGGCCGGGGTGGCTGTCAATCTACCCAGCACTCACCAATCATTACTTCCTTGCCTCTGAATTCAAAGAGAGTCCCGCCTCTTTGTTCAGTGCTCTTTTCCTCCCTCTCTAGAGTCTGCTGAAGTCTTTTGCTGAAAGCAGTCATGTTTGTCCGTTTGCTGTTTGATCAGTTCGGTGGTAGGTAATGAAACGTTAGGAAGAACAACCTTCAGAACATGGCCAAAGAGCCCGAAAAACCCACAACAACCAATGAAACCTTTTGTTCTTTCTCCTACTAATATCTCAGAGTAAGTTATTGAGACAATAACTGCCATTGAATGAGAAAAGGCATGGACTGCTGGGGGGAACTTGATGGTATTCTGCTTTGTGAACCCCTGCATTTCTGCTGGGCAGCTAGAGGAATTTAATCATAAGTTCAAATCTCTGCGACAGACAGCACAAGGGGACTTTTTTGAGCCCAAAAGTAATATTTTAATTTTTTTTAAATGGCTTGCTGTGGAGACAACATGTGGCCTGTGAACAGCATGTTTGCTCGCCGGGGTGGTGGTAAAATAATGCCTGGTTTGGAAGCAACACACTCTCTCTAATTTGGAGTCTTTCTGTTAAAATCACAGAGGGCAGGTCGATTTTTTCCTTCTATTTCCAACATCCGGGGGTATGTTACAGTCTTTAGGTAGCCAAAACTCCAAGTGAGAGCAACGGCAAGCTGAAGTGTTACCTAATTGCAACTAAAGCTTGGAGGGAAAAAGATGCAAACTGAAAAGAGGGTCCAACACAGACGCTTTGCTGCAGGGAAAGGATGATTTCCTCCTCTGTGTGTCCAGACGTTGACTAGATTGATATATGGACCTTGTTTCAACACAAGTGATGAGATATCGTCCTTCCAGTTGAAGAGAACAGGTTAGCACAGAGGACAAGGAAAATCTATGTGCTGTGTCTTCTAGTGCCATGAGTCCCCCAACCCAAGTGCTAGCCAAGAATGCATCCGGTCTGTATTGCATGTTAAAGATAACCCATCACTAAAAGAAATAATTCCTTAGCTACTGAAAGTGTCTGAATAAAAGCCTCATTTCCCATGAATTGGGTTTACACAGTGATTTGAATAAATAAAAATAAATAAATGTGATTCTCTATAATGCTAAGTCACAATGGCTGTAGTACAGGAAGACTACATTATCTGTGGGGGATCAGTTCCAAATCATCCCCCCATGGATGCCGAAAAACATGCAAGTATCAAACGCTATACATTGCATGTTTTCTGACTCTCTTTAGTGGTCAATTCTGGTAAATACATCCTAGAGGGTTTTTTATTTAATATTTTTCAGGCAGTGGATAAATGAATCAGTGGATACTGATCCCACGGACAGAGGATTCCTACTGTAGGTATTACTTTCAGTATCAGCTAGCAGGACAGCCACTTTCTCCTCTACAACATTTATCCCATTTTAATTCCGACCTGATTTTCCATTCCCCCCACATTCTGAACATGAATTTCTACATAAGACAATAAGGGATGCAAAAAAGGATTTTGAGGGACTTGTTGGCAATAATAGTAAAAGCAATAAATACTGCAATGTATGCAGACTCCATATGCATTCTGGAACTCCTACAAGATGAAGTCGTCCCAACTGCATATTAATGTGTGCAGAGAACACTCATCCACGTACATGTTCAGTTCATGCTTAGGCCTTGTTCATAGATTCCATTGAACATGTGGAAGCTAGGAATGACACTAGTGGGCATAATCCCAGTTAGGATGACTATCGAGGCACTGCTCTCCCTACAAAAAAAGGAAGAAATACATTGTCATTAAAAAAAGATACAAATTAACATAAAATGTGCATATGCTAATATATAGATATTGCTGCAAATTTAGAAATCATGACTAAGAAATAGCATAATTATTACTAAGAAATGCAACTCAGCTCAGCTCATGTGCAGAATAATGGTGGTCTGTGTGCTCACTCATGCTACTGTTCAACTCTTAATGCATAAGACCCTTGCTCTTCCTTGTTATAGAGCTTTTTAAAAATCCTGGATTAACTTGGGAACCTTTTCAAATAGAGGATGCTGTCAAACAGAGGACTATCATCTCTAAAGAGGCACATGGCTCACTCTTATCTCACTCTTCCCCTTCCCAGATATGGGAAAGGTTGCTTTTTTGAATTTCCCAGAATAGCCCAGTAAAAGTAGCCTCTAAAGTAAATTAGTAAAGATCAAGAACTCCTAAAATGCTGAAAGCCAGAATGCCTCAGCTACAAAACGAGACATAAAAAGTACCCATCGTTATTTGCCATGTGTTATGCTCTGTCTAGTTGGAATTGATTGACCTTGACAGGAATTTCAATGTAAGGTAAGGAGAGATTCTACGAGTGCTCCCACAACCCTCAGGGAGTTTATATGGCCAAGCAGAGATTTGAAACCAGGTCTCTTGAGTCCTAGTCTGCCACTGTAGCCACGAAACCACACTCGGTACTGTACTGCCACAGATTGTTACAGCTGATCATTCATACTAAAGGAAACAGGTGGAGAAGTGCAGGAAATAAAAATATCCTATCTTAATAACATAGGTTTGGATGCAACGCAAAATTGTTGTTTAAAGCTTCTACATTAGAAATCAGAAATAGACTCAGTGATGTCCAAACTACTGTCGTGCCCCGCTTAATGATTACCCCGCATTACGATGAATCTGCTTCATGACGATGTCTTTGCGATCGCAACTGCAATCGCAAAACAATGTTTTATATGGGGTTTTTTCGCTTTGCGAAGATCAGTACGTTTTCAGCCCATTGGAACGCATTGAAGGGTTTGCAATGCGTTTCAATTGGCTTTTTAATTTTGCTTTACGACGTTTTCGCTCTACAGTGATTTCACTGGAACGAATTAACGTCGTTAAGCAAGGCACCACTGTATGGTAGAAAATGAAAGGAAGTCCAAATACTGTACAGGAGAAACCATTCTCACTTTGGTTCCTCCAGCATGTTCCCCTCTGATTAAATCAATGCACAACCATTGTATCTCCCAGTTCCGAACTTCTCTCTCTCTCTCTCTTCTTTGTGAATAATGTTTCCACCATGGCTTTCCAGCTGACGCTTCTGTTATCTGCAATGTGCTTGGCAGGGCCTTGAACCAGCGAGTGATCTTCTGGCAGGAACCTCCAGTGGTAGAAGTGATTCTTCCTGCTGTCAGAACACGGGACCTTCGAGCAGGACTATAGTGATCAGTCTTTGCTCAAAGAGTGAAATACGGATGGGGTGGGGTTAGGGGAAGAGCGCCCTCGCTCCTCAAATCCATCTTGTGTGAGCGAATGTCAGACGTTTAACACATAGATCTCAGATTGGCTTAGGAGGTAAAGCCAAGAGCTCAGGACGTTGCCAGCTGGTGGTGGTATCGCTGTTTATTAATGACCTGAGATGAAATTCTGATGTTTCGCAAAAGGAATTTTGTGCATCGGGCATAACTCCAGCCCGGCACAGGAGTTAGCTAAGCTAAATCTCCAAGGAGTCATTCATCACATCCTCAGATGAAATTAATCATACGGATGTTGGTAGAAACGAAAGCTGAAAAAGACAACACCAAAAATATCTTCAAATCACAGCTTTTATTGGACTGTCTTGGTTGGCAGGATAACAAGCTTTTGGGGCGCGGAGATGTTCACTGCTATCTGAGGAAGGTTTCTGCATATCCCTAAAGTTTGCACAAACCAACCAAGGAAGCAAGCAAGCGTTCAAATAAATATCCGATTCAAAGGG